ACCCCCCGGGTACTATACCAGAATTTCAGGCGTTCTGGTAAAAGACCCCGGGTACTAGAACCAGTGCTATACGGTATATGATTATGAAAAAATGTACGAAAAATAAAAAAAAAAACAGGTATCGCTTGACAGATATTTTGTTAATAATACCAGCATCTGATTGGTCAATAAATATTATAAAATATTTTGTTATATAATCTTGAATAACTCCATAAGAGAACACCTCTTATGATAGAACACAATTTGGCTGTCCTGACCATGTTTTTTTATGGAAGGTCGACTGTATATAAAAGTATCTGCTTTCAGCACACGATTCGAGGCGATCACAGTTTTTGCGTCACTGATCATAGTTGTGTAACATTGAATTGGCTCGCGGCATTTCCGAGTAGACGGTTATTCACTTTAATTAATAGTATTAACGCAATTTGGTCAAATTATTACTATTGCTTAGATAAATATCATATGTCATCTAATCATGGGGACGGTTAAATCAAATACTGGCAGACATGCTGTGGCCCTATTCCTACTTCCTTGCAAGTTATAGAAAAAACAAATAAAAAATACGATTTGGATATGCTTCTGAAATCTCGGAAATTACTCATGGTTTTCAACGAATTAATCTTGTAGAGACAGCAGACTTTCCTGAGTTGAACGATATCTTGACAAGGAATAACCTAAATAGCGAGAGCACAATGCGTGTATCTGGCAGACAGACAGGAAGCGTACATGAGAAGGTTTATGCCTCTACCCACTTACCAAAAGTATTGGTGATTTTGCCGATCATCATACGGGGTAGAAAAAATCGATCACTTTGAAACTGATTTATGCCATAATAATAATCAACAGAAGATATTTTACATCATTTTATTCCTTAAAATCTGCTCCATCCGATAAACTAATTATCACGAGTAAAACAACCCCATACCATCACACCAGGAGAACGTACTTTTGGAACTAAGCAACTTACATCATACTTTTCATGAGCTTGTCGCCACACCCATTTATGAGAGTCGTTTGGGAATAAAACAAAACGTAACTCATAATTTCATTCCACTCATATATTAGTATGAGCAGGCTTTTGCAAATCTTGCAAAGAAGAGACGTTTCCCGGTTTAGAATCACCGTTTTTCAAATTTCATGTGTGCCAAGAGGGTTTGACTATAGAAAATAATTAAATGTGCTTTTCTCGGGCGTATAAACAATTCTCTTCGTTTCGACCCATATAATAGAGCTCTTTAAGGAAAAGGGGTTTCATATTAATATGTTCGGCTGTTGATCGACAAATGTTGAGTCGCAAATATAAATTGGAATCAATTTCTATTCAAGTGAGCAATCAATTTAACCACAATGTTTGCGCGTAAATTGCAAGCTATATGGATCTTAATAATATTATTGGTCGTATCAGCAAAATCTTCTACGGCGGATCTTGTTATTGCCGATAAAGCTAAAAGTTTTACAAATGTGACGACGGCAATTACCCCCGACAGTGATGGTGGTTATCCTATACATCAGGTATCGATGGTTGTTCGTGGATGGCTTGTTCCATTAGATTACCTACGCCTTCACTGGGTTGACTGGACTCAACAGTCGAAATGGTATGAAGACATCAACACCGATGGTCATGATTGGTTAACAGAGCAATTTACGTCCCCATCTTGGGCAGCGGGATACTACTACGAAATATCCTCGTTTATGGAGGTGGGACCACATCGACTATACTTTGGTGGGATGGTTGGGTGAATGGAATATATTGCAACGATCTTCATTTTCATATAAAGCATGCTGTCACCTACAAGCTTAGTATAAGTCAGGAAATAATCTGGGGACGAGATTGTAGTTATCCATTAGAATAGACAAATATTGCTATCATTAACAGCAAGTACATTTCGTCGCTGTCTCTTTTGATACGCGTACGTTTGTTGTTGTTGTTTCAGCACTTTATTTTCTAAAACCCGTTGTCAGTATTTAAATCCGTAACTATAACACAGATCTTATCCGGCTGTTTTTATTTATACTTATAATTACATTATATGCAAAAGGATAATGCATACCAGTCATGACTTTTTTATTATTACTTGTTTAATTATTATTATTTCACTCATCTTATTACTTTCGCTCAACAATGTTTTTCTATTGCTTCGTAATCTATACGCAAAAAAAAAAGTCTGCTTTGGTTTATCGACATGCCGTTTTCCACCTGATGACTAATTATACCGGCTTACACGCCATGACCTGACCGGCCTTTTTATTTTTTGTGTGGTATTATTATTTGCTTAAGTATTATTTTTAGTCAGATTATTATTTATCGTATCTCACCAACAATGCTACTGTAGTCACTAAATAACTTAACAATTTAAAAATACCATGTAATTAACAACATGATAATTTCCTGTGTACGTTGCATATAATGTCTCTCGGGTGTCGTTACTCCTATAGACTAGACTGGTTAATGACATACTTGGACCAGTCAGACTTTCAACATAGTGTAGGCACAGACAGTAAAGAGTTGCTCTAGTTGATAGTGATACCGTTTATGGGGCATTGAAAAGAGGCCCATTGTTATAGCGTTACTGGAACTCAAATATTGCAATCATAGACAAAAACTTTTTAGTTAGTATGCGAGTAGTAGGCTAAAGATAATATTCGAGTTGAAAAGAAAATCATTCGTCATAGCGTCTATCAAGCTGTATAGAAACAATTTTGGCAAACGCACTTTTAGCTTTTGCTGTGTTGGTGTATAGTACTCACTGATTTGAGAAACGTTTCTGGCTCCAAGAATTTGAAATTGATGAAACCGTTGTTTATGACATACGCGAAGCCATATTAATAGTTGAATGTGCAGTAGCAATAGAAGACACTCAAGGCCCAAGGCTCCATCATTTGCAAAGAAACTTAGATTATATAAGGCACGAGGTAATATGTCAAATTATGAAAACTTGATAGAACAGATAAGAACAGTCATAATATAGATTCGGTGATGATAATAATAATATATATGTAACATTCGGACAGAAAATTTTGTGGAAATGTGTCGTTTTTGAATTAAAAAGTACTAATTATAATGTCATCTCTATATACTGTATGTAACATTTGAGCGAAACGGGTCGTTTGAATTAAAAAATGTTAATGTTATTTCTACATACTGTATGTAACAGGTAGCTTTCAAAATCAGGCAGATTTATCGTTTTGTCTAAACTTTTATGGGGATGTAACAAAAGTCATCAGTGGTATACAAATCTTAAATGTGTCAGAAATTTTAATACATGGTGCCCATATTGTTCGGGTCGTTATTCTTGTAATCTTGAATTAGCTAAAAGAGTTGCAAATGAAAAAGGCGGTGATTGTATTTCTGAAAAATATATTAATTCAATTACACCTCTTTTATGGCAATGTGCTAAAAATCATCTTTGGTATGCAAATCTGGATAAAGTAAAAAATTCTGATACATGGTGCCCCTTTTGTCCATGGAAACGAGAAGAACTTTGTAAAAATGTAGTTACAAAATTATTAGGTTCACCTTCTGATATTCGTAGACCAGATTTCTTAAAAACACCTGATCATCCATTAGGACTTGAACTAGATACACAGTAGCTCTCTTTATAGTGTATCAAAAAAATCTATTAGTAAAAAATTCTCAAAAATCCACTATATCGAGAGTTTGTGAAAATTAATTAGTAAATACACTATCGGATAGAATTTATTATAGATGGTTTTGAACCTTTATCCACTATATTGCGATTTTAATTAGTCTCCACTATAAAGGAGGTCCACTATAAAGAGCGGCACTGTGTATATACTATCCACAATATGGTTTTGCTATTGAAGTCCAGGGTATACAGCATGAACGTTTTCACGCTTTCTTCCACAAAGATCAAGAGGTATTCAAAAAGCAGTTTGCACGTGATCAGCTAAAAAAAGAACTCTGCGATGAAAATTGGATAGTACTTATCGAAGTATGGTATTATGAAGATCCTCACACAGTAATCCCTCAAAAACTTCAAGAATTGGGTCTTATTCCATAATTGGTATCGTTCAATTATATCCTTTCCTTGGGAAAATCAAGAGATTATTATTGCATCTTTCTACGGAATAATTTATCAGTGCCGACATTGCATCATACTTGCGTACCTTGTGATTGTATAACATTGATATAAAAAACGATCAATCTACAATCTTTCTTTTCAAAGTTTTCAAAAATGATTAGTAAATTTCTATCCATAGAAAGGAATTTTAGGAGTGTAGAGGAAAAGGGTCTAAAAGAGAAGCAGTAAGTGTATATCACGCGGATGGATTAAGTTTCACACAACATTGACTCGTATATAGTTTGCCTTTACAGATAGGCTGGAACTTGTCAGTGGAAACCATTGACGCTTTCTTTGAAGGTCACGAAACACCTGGATATAAATTTGACATTGATTCAAAGGGAAACGTATTCATAGTCGAGATGGAAGGAGCAGAGCATACATCAGTCATCGAACTGCTTATAGATTACTTTAAAATTCCTAATGGAGGTATTATTCTTAACGCACCGATAAAAGTTGAGATTAATTCAGGTAAAAATCATTTTGGTTGCCTAATCTTTGGTTGTAATCAGTTTTATAATCTTCT